CTAAAGAAAAGCATGGAGCCTCCACCTGCTGCGACAGTGTTGATGTCAAGCTGTAGAAACATTGTTTTCCACAATTTAAAACATACACTTATATTACAGCTTGTTTATTTAGCTTCGCATTGCCAAAATAGAGGTTCCATGATAGTAATGATTAAACTTGATGGTTATCTTGGTTTATGTGAAAGTATGGCCTACCTAGGAAACTTTGAATTTTTTGTTAACAGAAAGTTTTTGCATTTATGTGTTGTGCCAATTCAATGAATAAAGGACCTATAATGGTGCTAATTATTCCCAACATTCCTTCTTTGGCTCAATATACAAGCTTCATAATTCTAAAGATAGGAGTTTCAAAAAATATAAATTGCCCACACTGGCATTCAGAATTTCTGTAAGCTACAAACTGTTATAAAAGTGCAAAAAGTGAAATGATTCTTGTGGATGCATTCATTACACGTAACAATATAAATCACTATGCCAAGAACCTTCAACTTTGACACTKGTTTATGCAGAGTTTTATGAGCATTTGTTGCTCTCAATTTGCCTGCTCTGCATACTGTAYTTTTCATGCTTAAAAATCTCAAATTATGGAGACTTTTGAGCATGAATAACAGTCTGCAAARCAAACTAGCCCACCCTTGTTGATAAAGTATTGAAATGAAAATGATTTGTGCAGAATAGAAAACAAGTATTACTCATTTCATTTAAAAAATTGGTGCATTTTACAGAGTATTACAATTACTATTTACATCTTTTATACATAATCCAATGGAGATAGGAGACGCTTTWTATGTAAATTAAATTCAAACTGAGGTCAACGAAAAAGCGCGCCAAAAAAGTCCGCCAAAACAAACTCCTAACGCACGCTCCTCTCAGGGTTCGAGCAAATCGTTCTAAAAAGCTTTACAGATTTCTGAATATAAAGGAATTTTAAATCAAAAGCGACGTCACTTTAAATATGTTATCATAGAAAAATTGTATTTGAGATRTCCTTAGCATTTGATCATTGAACTTTCGTGATATTTGGGTGGCTCCTAAAGGAGCCGTTGTTTAAATGTTTAGCCTGTTTGAAAGACCTAATATTCYTGAGACTGACTGGATTTCTTCTGGCCTCCTTTTTCTGTTTTCTTGGGCAAAAGAACTGCTTGGATGTTRGGAAGAACGCCTCCTTGAGCGATCGTTACTCCGCCGAGTAATTTGTTCAATTCTTCGTCGTTTCGTACGGCTAACTGYAAGTGACGAGGGATGATTCTGGTTTTCTTGTTATCACGGGCAGCGTTGCCAGCCAACTCGAGGATTTCAGCGCTTAGATATTCAAGAACGGCKGCTAGATAGACTGGAGCACCCGCTCCAACACGYTGAGCGTAGTTTCCCTTTCGAAGATGTCGATGAATACGACCGACGGGGAATTGAAGTCCGGCACGAGAAGATCTGGTCTTTGATTTAGTTCCCTTAGCTTTTCCTTTGCCACGTCCAGACATATTGMAATAAAGATAGATAGATCGCAARTAGCTCRCTCAAAATTTGTCTCGAATGTTTGTGAAATGGCTACAAWGATCATCGAGTGAATTTTATACCAAGGAAGAGGATCGAAATCCACCAATCAGGACACAYATGTAAATTTCACTAAATAAAACAGTGAAGGTCTTGTTTCAGGGGTATTTCCTCGGAGGTAAGTACCGTAAATCGACCAATCACAAAATAGGAAAATTTGACCTACGACCCTTATCACAAAAGCAGGTAGGAAGCCACATTTCGACCAATCAGCGGWCAGGGATTTCGATCCGCGATCCTTCSATGCTTTGGTATAAATACTGAGGGCAAGCCATTGTAGTGTCAAACTTCTTAGCATTTGTCATYGACGTTCAAAGTTTKTGTGAAGTAAAYCTAAAGAAAAATGCCTCCAAAACCCGCTGGAGTTGGAAAGAAAGGCGAAAAGAAAGCTGGMAAGAAAGCCGCTTTGGGAGACAAGAAGAAGAGGTCTCGAAGACGAAAGGAAACTTACTCGATTTATATCTACAAAGTCATGAAACAAGTCCATCCCGACACTGGTATCTCTAGCAAAGCTATGTCCATCATGAACTCTTTCGTTCAGGATGTCTTCGAGCGCATCGCTGGCGAAGCATCGCGCCTCGCTCACTACAACAAGAAATCGACGATTACTTCACGCGAAATCCAGACAGCCGTTCGTCTCCTTCTTCCTGGTGAATTGGCCAAGCACGCTGTAAGCGAAGGCACCAAAGCCGTAACCAAATACACCAGCAGCAAGTAAATCAACCAAGAAAAACTTATAACAACAGCTCCTTTAGGAGCTACCACATATGTGAAAGAAATGATCTAATGCAAAAGGAACATGTCTGAACATTTTCGCCAATCTAGTATTGGCAATCGACTTGTAAATAGCGTTCTTTCCGACCTATAAAAAAGCCCTCGATCTCTTAGTTTATTTTAACAATAGTTTTGTCGCATTTTACAATAATTGACAAGGACAAGAAGAATTTTCACTTGTGTTTATGTTAAGATAATTGACTATAGTGATAAATAACACGAGAAACATGTCTGTTACACCGAGATGTGATAATCGAAAGTCAAAAATAAATTGGAAATGTAATGTTACAGACGTTGTTTGTCACRCTCCAATGCAAAATGTGGCGCGAAAATATTCGAGAGCGCGCGACGCTAAAGGTTTTATATGAGCACTCGAMTGRCTAGTTTCCAGTAGCATTGGAATGGCTTCTCGCCGCTTTATGAGCACTCGAATGGCTTTCCTRGTGGCATTTGAATGGCTTATAATTCATTGCACTGTCATGACTTTTGCTTAAATTGTTGGCTCCTAAAAGAGCCGTTGTTTTGATTGTGTGATGATCAAGTYGTCTAACCGCCAAATCCGTAAAGAGTCCGTCCTTGGCGTTTCAAGGCATACACGACGTCCATGGCAGTKACAGTCTTTCTCTTGGCGTGCTCGGTGTASGTSACAGCATCACGGATCACATTCTCAAGGAATACTTTGAGGACGCCACGGGTTTCTTCGTAGATCAAGCCAGAGATWCGCTTGACTCCACCACGACGAGCAAGACGACGGATRGCGGGYTTGGTAATWCCYTGGATGTTRTCMCGRAGGATYTTACGRTGACGCTTGGCGCCTCCTTTTCCTAGACCTTTTCCTCCTTTACCTCTTCCAGTCATGTTCAGATATAAAGATAGATCAACGATATAATTATTGTTCAAACGGTTGAGAGATCAGTTTATATAGCTAGGCATGCTCGCATTTCATTGGCCGTAGAAGTGTGAAAAAATGCGACATTTTTGATCCTTGATCCGCAGTAACCGAAACAAACGAAGCTAACAGAAAATTACTCTCCAAATTCTCTCTAATTCTATACTAAAATTTAAATTTAGCACTTCTACATTATACCTATGTTACTGCTCTTTCCATTTTTGTGAATGTTAAAACATTATTTCTGATAATAAAAATGTAAAAGCGTTTCAAAAACGTTCGAGCTTCAGCATTTACCAACATTCGGATCAAAATTCGAGGAAGGCGCCAAAACAATAGCCAATGAAAGCGAGATTCTAAAGTACTTGACCAATCACATAGCGATATCACTTGACAAATCAGATCTCAGGGCGAACTATATGAAGCTTGAACCACAACCACTAAAAGTTATTTTTACGATCAAAGTTCGTAGCTATGGCCCGTACAAAGCAAACTGCTCGTAAATCAACCGGCGGAAAAGCTCCCCGAAAACAACTCGCCACAAAGGCAGCACGTAAAAGTGCCCCAGCAACTGGTGGAGTCAAGAAACCTCATCGTTACAGACCTGGTACAGTCGCTCTTCGTGAGATCCGCCGTTACCAGAAATCGACCGAGTTGCTGATCCGCAAGCTTCCCTTCCAGCGTCTTGTACGTGAAATCGCTCAGGACTTCAAGACCGACCTTCGCTTCCAGAGYTCAGCTGTCATGGCACTTCAAGAGGCAAGCGAGGCTTACTTGGTTGGCCTGTTTGAGGACACCAACTTGTGCGCCATTCACGCCAAGCGAGTCACCATCATGCCCAAGGACATTCAGCTTGCACGCCGAATCCGTGGCGAGAGAGCTTAAATTTCTCATTCAAAATCAAACAACGGCTCTTTTAAGAGCCAACACATGCTAAAAAGTCAATGAAATAATGCAATGTGATCCCAAAATCACCCTTCCAAAAATATAGATGGGTAAACACAGGGAACCCAAAACTCAGGAAATACCTGAGGAGCCTGAATAGTTATCCCTGCTGTTGTAGTTTCAAACACATGTTCATAGTGGCCAGCATATCTAGAGACATCAGTCGATGTACCTTGTAAAAAACAGAATATATAATGAAGATTCATACTAAAATGTCCTCTCCAATTTTTTCTCCCTAATTTTTTTCAGATGATGTATATTACAATTAATATGAAGATTGGTGGGTGACAGTCCCGCTTGTATGACAGGAAACCTGACAGAAGGGTGTGACAACTTTTGCTGAACTTCAATAGTTGTACATACCTCCCATATCAAAACCTATYACTGGTTTGTTTGTTTCTCGGCCATATGTGGTTACAGCATATCCAACCTTACAAAGTAGAATTTAACTCTTTATATATTGTAATTATTTTCATATAAATGAACTTCATATAAACCCAGCTAAAAATTCTCATGTCAACAATTTTAATCAAGGGGAGAAGAAGCAGGCACTAGTCCATAACACATGCTCATAATAATATCATAATAATCAGTATCAAGAAAGGAAATCAAATACTGGATGAAGCTTTGCATAAATTTGTTCATATTTACCACTCCTCCTGCAGGTCCAGAAAGGATAGCTTTTGAACCACAGAATCTATTAAATGTACAAGAAGTGCTAAGACCCGTATGGTATTTAAATAATTGTTGCTCTGTATCATCCTTAAAATAATAGGAATGCACAGAATTTGTGTAGAAATAAAGATATGAGATACAAAAACCTTCAACTTGATGAGCAACATTGTTTCTGTTCAAGTTTAGGTTCGATGTTCCAAGTTGATTGTTTTTGTAAACTCATATTTTGATGTCTTTATTTCTACACAAATTCTGTGCATGCATTGCTATGATTTAAAATTAATCTGAAATTCCATGCATTTTCACACACTGACAAATATTGATAACAATGGAGACCAGAAAAAAGTGAAAGTGCATTTTGGGGTAATTATATTACTTATATTTTTGTTGACACTTAGCCTGAAGTTATATATCATTAATAGTGGACATCAGGAACATCAGGAAATTCAGAAAATACCTTGCAACAGGAGTCAGACCGCCATCAGATTGCATAAATAAAACATTTAGATTCTGAAAAATGTAAAATTAGTTAAGTAAAATAAACCATGTCTCATGTACCAGTGTAAAAAAAATTATATCAAATTTACCTTGAGTCCATCCTTAAAACCAGAAGCAAAACCAGAAACATATCGCTTGATGCACGGCGTGAGATATGCATCTGCACATGCTGTTGAAAAAGTTTTTAAAATCTGTCAGGTATCTGATATGCAATAATGAATGGTGTTCGGCATTTGCCAAGTATAAAACAAAAAAAAGTGCATTATATTTATTGATTAACGTATGAAATGGACTGGATACCTGTGTATCCTCTTGGTACAATTCTCATCATYGGCATAACAACAGATGACAGGGAGACCTGTTCAAAACCAAGTCCTCTTGCAATCTCTCCAACTTCTCTCTCATGTTTATCATAGCTGTGTAGAAAACAAAATGATTACTTTGGAAGAAGTAGAAAGGGGTTGGAAGAAATTTATGTAAGTATTGAATTAAAGTAAAGGAAAAAAGATATTTTTTCTTTGAATGAGCCAACATCTTACATATAGGAATGCATCAACACAACTGCCAAGCTCTTTATTCCTTTCTTGAGCACTTTCTGTGTGATAAAAATGATATACAAAAAATATAATAAAAATATATTATTACAAATGGTTCTCTTCTTCAACAAGCAATGCTAATTTTCATACCTTCAGATCTTTTTTAAGTGCATCTTTGTCAAAACTTTCCCATAACTCAAACTTTTCACCTGAGGCACCTTGAACAACTTCACGGTTTCCAGGTATCATGGAATCTTCTTGTACTGGAATTACCCTTTCATTAACTTCAATAATTTCTTCATATAACACTTCTGGACATAACACTTTGAGGTCAAATATCTTAGGTCTTGTTTGATTGCCAATATGGAGTAAATCCTTGAATCCTTTGGTGACCGCAAGAGCCATCCTCTCTCCTTTGCGCTCCAATAGTGCATTTGTTGCCACAGTTGTYCCCATGCGAATAAAATCTATGTATGTTGGATCAATCAGCTCGTTGGCTGGAAATTTGATGCCAGTTTCCTTCAAGATAAAAGCAGAATTCTCTTTAGACTCTGCACCAAAATAAGTCAAAATAAACTTAAACTATAGTTTTGSCTACTCATTTAGAACATAATTCCCTTCTTTTCATTGCTTTCTTATTGCAAATCCCACTTTTAGCATTTCAAATCCYATTATTCCATTAGGGAATAMGCAAATATCACTTCCAGTTTAAAACTCCTTTCACAACCCAGCTCCGTGTTCTGGAGTACAATTGAGGCCATTCAATGGAGAAAAACCAACAACAACAAAAGGTTGAAGCACATTCCACTAGTACACTAAGAAAAGTCACAATGGTGACCGCTAGTATACCCACCTCTTCCAATATTCGCCTTATTCCCTCTCGAGGWGCGTCTGGATAATTATCGGGATCCTCGGAAAGCAACTTCATAACTCTAACTTTTCCATTTGGGCATTCAGCATAAACGTCAGTGAAAGTCCCTCCTCTGTCAATTGCAAAACGAAACGCTCCTTTCATATCGCTGGACTCCATTTTGGACAATGAACAGACAAACCGCTGATCTGGTTGAACGCTTGAACTTTAAAACTTCTCRGAATGTTTTGAAAATCTTCAGCTATTATCTAATTTTTGGCATAGAAGAGTAGCCAAGGAAAACAACGTTCCGTGCTGCTCAAATAGTAGCTGGAGCTGAGGTCATGGCCACCATGAGATCAGGACTGAAGTTAATCTCGTGATGTCACGAAATCCTACGGAAAAAGTATTTGCCTTGTTAACGCAATTGTGTCACGCGAACAACGAACAAATAAAGAGAGAAAGAAAGAATGTTATGAATAAATACATATATGATTGAAGGGAGGAAGACAGAAATAATTGATCAAGCAAAACAAATAATTAATCATTTACGGTTATCATAAATTATCATCTAATTAATTATTTTAATTGAAATCTGCATGAAATTCAGTGAATACGCAGTCCGAATTTCCGCAAAAGGCGGTTTTTCGTAATCTGATCCGAGCCGGCGAATTTGGGTTTGGGGTTATGCACTAGTCAATTGAAACCCCCGACCCCCGACCCCCGACCTCCGGTGATAGCGGGGCACTGAACAGGGACGTGATGCGTTTTTAACGTGGTTTTAACAGCAAGATTGCCCCGGGGGTCGGGATTTTGATGAATTGTTTTCAAAGCGGGGCAAAGAGCGGGGATTTTAACGCGCGTTTGAACATGTATGACGCTAGAAACTAGAGTTCGGCAATTGAATACCCTGAAGGCATTGGTATTCAACCCTGCTTTTTTATTTGTTTATTTTTCCTCGCATGAAAATTTTTTAAAAGAAACTCAATTACACATGTTTTTCTCTGTCTAGTTAGACTCATGTAGCATGCAAATGAGTACAAGGGATTGTGCAAAAACATGGTAGGATTCTATTAAGATCCTATTAAGATCCTAGTAGGATCCTATTAAGATCCTGGCAGGATCCTGGTAGGATCCTATTAAGATCCTGGTAGGATCCTGGTAGGATCCTATTAAGATCATGGTAGGATCCTATTAAGATCCTGGTAGGATCCTATTAAGATCCTGGTAGGATCCTATTAAGATCCTGGTAGGATCCTATTAAGATCCTATTAAGATCCTGGTAGGATCCTATTTTCACATCATTCCGGAGTGTCTGTACGTTAAGTGTACTTCACGACACGGTGAAGCAAGTGGATTAGTGGATAAAAATAGACTACTCATAGCTCAAATCATGCAAAGACGGCTTGCATAATTTATAATTCAATACATGGACATTTAAATTCAGGTTGATAGCCAAGATTACTGACAGATGCCTATATTTATCAATCCTTTGTGTTAATAAAGATATCTATCACTAGAAGCAGTGCAGTTCTACATGCAAAGCCATCCAATCCTTTCAAGTTGCCCACCCTGGCATTGGAAATGCAGATTAGAGCAGAGTCACTTGAACCATGAAATAGAAACTAAAGACTTAGTACCTAATAGGCACTATTTAGACACTATCACTGAACCAGAACAGTACAAAGAGATTACTTTGATTGTTAAAGTGGTCTCTTGGGTATTGCTTATTGGATCAAATAAACTGTTCTGGTTCAGTGCTAACGACTATTAGGAACTAATAGTCCCTATTAGCTAGTACTTTTTAGTTCTTATTTCATGGTTCATGTGACTCTGCTCTATAGCACCATGTGAAGTTAGAATTACAAAATTTCAGGGGTTATACAGCTGACATGGAAACGTCAAAGTGAAAAAAGTGACTCCTGGCACTCCCTTGAGAAACAAGATTGCAACCAGACATTTGCAGAAATATTGATTTATTTTGATTCATTAATTATTGATCTATAGAGTGGTTTCATACTTTGTGGAGTTGCTAGTGAGGTTAATATACCAGTTGTTTTCCTTGCTCTAAAATATCCATCTACAATACCTATTGGTAACCATCCTCTGAGTAACCATGGGTACCGTGCGCATCAGGCTCACTGGGAGAGAAGGCCTGATACTTAATTAACTATTACATTCATTGACAAATATCTAGTAGACTTTAAGAAATTTAATTTACTGTGCTATTTAAATATATATTTGACATTTTTTAGAATTTAGAAGTTTATAACTACATGTACACTGATTTCTCTCTTTTGCCAAAATTATAGCTAAAAGATAGATATAATATAAGGACATTTTAAAGAAATACTAAGCTGGAATTTATTTCTTAATAATTAATGTTTTTTTACAGTGATCATTATGAAAAAGGTAAAAAAAAAACAATAGAAAACATATTTTTGAGACTTTATGTGGATACATACATGTGCAACGACCAAATAAAAATAAAAATATTGCACATATTATTGTGGAAATTGAGTTTAAAATACGTGACAGCAACTTAATAGCTGTTAGAGAACTTAAATACAGAATATAATACTCAAATGCACGTCCTGGACATTTTACGGACTTTTGTCAAGTGCTGTGGTGATTTAGATATAGTACTGTATATATTGCCACAAACAATAGACGTCACAGAAAGAGTAGCTTGTCCTGTGGGGGTTGTGTGGTTTATATGGTATATATTATCAACAAACACTASACATCATAGAAAGAGAAAGCTGTCCTTTTGCTTGAGAGGCCAGAAAATGGTGAAAACCACGATATGGAGAAGTTGCCCCCAAATACTTCTTGGAGATTTTCATACCTAAAATAAAGGCACAATAAATATGAATGACTATAAATGGACAAACATATCTAGTCATGATTTTTAAACATGAATCCTATGCATACATGTTTAACCATAGAAAACAACTTACATTGTTTGTTTTCTTGCTCTTTTTTCATTCTTAAGACTCTCTATACCCTGGAATTGGTCAATACAATATTAGAACTAGGAAAGTTATCATTCAAACCTTTTCAAAAGGAGTGTAGAATCATCAATGTGCTGAGAAACCCTTCACAATCACATTCAAGACTTTTCTACATTTTTAGCTTCTTATGTCATTTTCTAAACAAAAAMGTATCAAGTCAGGACGATAAAGGTAGCWACATAATAATGACAAACTTAAATTTTTGTTTTTAATCAATAACTTACTGTTTCATCTCGTGCAATTGATGTCACTTGTGAACAAAACATCACTAAGGTAAAGATACCAAAAAGCAGACCTTCAAATACTAGGAATATGATAAAAAGTATAGATGATGGCATTGGAACTCCAGTACAACCTACAAAGATTCAAAACAAATCATTTAACTAAAGAACCAAAAGATTGAACACTTAAAGATACATGAACACTTCTAATAAACCAAAAGAAATACAAAAATTACAATATCAACTACCTCACTAAATATTTGTATATAAGAATTGATTATTTGAAATATGTTGAAAAGATAGCACACTGAAACACAGAAAGCTAAAAGGGCATACAAAGAAATAAACCAATAGAAACAGTATGTAATATTCGTGTTAACCTTACCTATCCAATCTCGGTCTGTACATATTAAGACCTGCCGCACGGCCAGTAACAGTGCATATAAAGATATTATAAAAATGTATAACTGCAATAAAAACATAATTATATCATTCAAAATGGAGTCTCTACAGGAATTCTACAAATGACTTTGTTGTTGTCTTTATATCTTTACAACCAAACTAAATTAAAAGTTGATGTCTTTGACTTTTTATCACAGATAAGCTGATCATAGTGTTCATATGGTTATGACTTACTGTAAATAAAATGAAGAATTTTTGGTTGTCTTCTCCAACACAATTATTGATCCTTGAARTAAAGAGACAAAACTTGCAGCAAGCACATTTCATACTTTCTTTTACATTGAACACATTCAAAACAATATTATAATAAATTTAAAAAGATGATTGTAGGTGAAGTTTTTATGTTATTGTAACAAGATTCATTGTAACCCTGAAGATGACCGCGTAGGTCCAAAGCTAGGTTTTATTTTATTAAACACCAAGCTTGATGCAGCAAAGTACACTATGAATATTATAATAATTAAACTTTACCATGGACAGTGATGATCCATTCTCCTGTAAAAGAATAAAAAACTAAGAAGATAAATAAAAAAATATTTATGAATTTAACAAAATAATCAATCAATCAATCAATCACCCAAATAATAAATCACTCAATACTTCTATCAAGCAACCGATGAATAAAATAAATGAGCTTTTTTCTAAAATAAATTGATCAATTGATATAAAACCGGTGTCATTTCTCTGAAGACTTGTATCTTCATTTGTACACAATTAAATTCAAGAATGATAAATGTGAAAAAAATAATAACATATTACCTTATACACCTCTGACATGTGCTAAAAACAAAAAAAGGAATTACATTATTCAATGATGGAATTATATTGTTTAAATATATGGCTTGTGATTATTGTTGTACCTGCAATGGTGTGCTCTGTCTAATTTAATACATTCACATCGTGTGCATCTCAGGACAGTTTGTCCTTCTGCTAATCTTAGCTTCTTTAAATTCTCTGTTGTGCAGTTACCAAGTGGTATAGTACCCTGTAAAGAAAATATTTATAATTAGAGAAGGCAGAAGCTCAAGTGGTTGGTAAAGAGGATGGGGCAATATGCATGTACCATACATTACTGGGCAATTTTGAAAAGTGTGGCAAAAARTGTGCATTAAGTCACATCAAAGTGTACCAGTCACAGGTAATTTTAGGGTTTTTTTATTGCATTTATYTTTAGCACCTAATCCAAACAGCCAGCAATACTTGATTTATTAAAGAATTTACAATAATCCTATATCATTGAATAATTGAACATTTAAATAAATAAATATTCAAAGCATTCCTTTTTACTTAAGTACAGATGGTCTATTTCTCTATGAACATACTTTTGCACTATTATTACTTGTATGTAATATGAAAAAAACCCATTCACTCTTTCCAAATATTGACACAAAAAATACACATATGGCGTTCTTCATTGCAAGTAAGTAAACTCAGTCAAAGGCATAATTAAGCATGAGAGAGAACGGTCATCATACCATTCAGAGTTTCTTAAGATAATACAACAACAGCAATCTCAAGTGCATGGTAATATATTAAAATAATTCATCTTGAAAAAACCATTAGTATATAAGTGTGCTTGTTCTGAAGATTAAGATCTTTTCCTAGTGCACTATTAGTTATAGCGTTTTCAAATGATTGTAAATTATACAGTTTATATTTCTGCACCTGGCTATCAATATATTTTTATTTGAGTAGCAGTTAGATCCCGATGTGGAGTTGAATTAATGAGAAATTAAACTTTTTATTGTGTGATTTTCCACTAGTTGAGCAACCAATATAACAATGGTAAAGTTGCTTGACGATGAAAACATTATCTTAATATAACAAAATTGTTATTGCAACCTTTGATAAATTTGATAGAAAAAAGACAGCTCTTTTTTTTGGTCAAAGTTTTTCAATATATAAATTTGAAAAAGTGTGGGAAAAACAATTAGAGAGAAAAATAAGTCTTGGTAATGGTATCATGAAGTGTCTGACAGACATATTACAAKCAATATGAACCGACTACACACAGTTGGCCAGAAAACCTCTAGACATTACCATGAATGGCTTTTAGTCATAGAAACCTCTATATTATGYACCTATGAATGATAATTGAGTGTGTGTGTGCTTTTTCCAATTTGCATACATAGTAATTTGCTAAGAAACACCAAATAAGAATGACTGTTCATTCATTACAATTACATACCATAAAAAATTGAATTATACTGAAACAAATCCCACTTATTCTATTTTAGAAGGAAAATGCAAATGTATTATATACAAAGCAGATTTTACACCTAAAACGATAAAACGAACATCTGGATAAAGGTCCCTAATCAAGATATATGAGAAAGCAGCTGATAGCAAGATAGTGTTTACACATAGAATTTTAAGGGAAAACACTCTTCATAGATCTACTTCCTATACTAACAGACATACTTGAGATTAAAGGTTTGTGTTAAGGACGAAAGGAAAGAAAGATTAGCATCGACAAGTGCAACCAGTTTTAAGTGAAATTCGATGTTAAAGTTTGAAAAATAACACCCAAGCACCTGCTAAGTTCGTTTCGTCGACTTTCGACTTGAATCTTACGAAATCATTATTTTTTTCGAAAATTATAACTCAAAAAGAACAGAGAAATAAATCAAGGAAACATTATTAATTTGAAAGTTTTCCCATCTCCTTTTTTAGTTATGGCTTCAACTGAAATAAGTTACATGTAAGCTTAATCGTTGTGTCAACTTTGAAAATTCACCGACGATCGCCGCTCAAACAAATCTTCTGTTCCAAATTATTAACCTACCGGGTCTGTGAGCATTGCTCTGACATGTGCCACAACCGCTAATATAGCTAAATACGTGAATAAAATGGAGTGCAAAAGGCCAACGCCAGCGAGTGGGATTTCGGGAAGCAACATGACGAAAACGACAACAAACTCGGCGTACACCACGAGGAAATACGTGAATACAGCACAGCCGATTCCAACGCCATCAGAAACGAACCAGGAGCACTGACAGCACACAGACACCGACCTCATTCTGTAAGATTTCTGTAAGATTTCACTTCCTCAATCCCATATTTGTTAGGTTTTGCGCCTTCGAATGTGCGCGCATCTGCGCGCATGCCACCTTGATGGCTATCTTCGTGGAAGTCTCGGTAAATACTCGTAAAAACGAAAAAGGTACGTACTCATGACGGAAACTGACCGGAATTTTATTCATCCGGGACATTTACTCGGGCTGCCTAGGCAACTTSAATTTATTTATTTTYCCYCTGATTTTGGWTCATTTTTCTTGCGATTTCTGTATTTRTAAAWWGCAAAATGCCTGAACCTGTAATMGAAATWACGGAAGAAGAACAAAAAGACGATGAGGAAGGAATTTTGAAAGGAGAAGATGAAGAAAACGAGGACGAAAAGAAAGTTTCWGACTCRAAGACAACAGCTGTTTACGATGCCATGAGAAATGAGCCGACGTTAACGTATTTGATTGTAGAGAGCTATGAAGGAGAGAAAGATGATAGGGGTTTCTTTGAAGGTATAGGAACAGCGTACTTCAAAGGAGGCCATGTGTATACTGGTTCATTTGTTAGTGGTAGAATGGATGGCACAGGAAAATACATATGGGAAAATGGCATCATGTACGAGGGTGACTTCAAACACAACAGAATCGAGGGCAAAGGACGTTATACTTGGCCTGATGGAAGCACCTACGAAGGAGAGGTCCTAAATAGTCTCAGACATGGCCAGGGAACTTATTCCTGTGGGTGTCTTCCAAGTGTTTATGTTGGGGAATGGAAACAAGGCAAGAGGCATGGGCGAGGGGTACTAAAATATGACACAGAGGGGAGGTCACAATATGATGGTCATTGGCTGAATAATGCCAGACATGGACACGGCATACGTAGATATGCATCTGGAAACATCTACAAAGGTGATTGGAAGAATAAYCTCCGTCATGGAGAGGGGGTCATGCACTGGTGTGACCAGGAACAGGTCCAGATGTATGAAGGACAATGGAACGGTGGTGTACAACATGGATATGGTGAACACTCCTGGTACATGAAAAGGATTCATGGATCSCAGTATCCATTAAGAAACCATTATGCTGGAGAATGGTGTAATGGTCTGCGTGAAGGATATGGAACATTCACCTAYGCTTCTGGTGCTAAGTACATTGGCGAATGGCTGAACAACATGAAACATGGAAAAGGAAAATATATATTTAAAAATGGACAGGTTTTTGAAGGTGGGTTGTACTCTTTTTATTTCATGCTTTTTTACCTTTTATGTATCTTTTTTAATTTATGATAATTGATAATTAATTTATGATAATTATCATTAATTTATGATAATTAACTTTAATTTATAATAATTATAATTGATTTATGACAATTAATTTTTTTTGATAAACAGGTGCTTTTGCTGATGACCACATGCTAGAATTCCCAGAATTCCATCCATCAGGTATGACAACACCAGATATAGTCAGCGCTGGGATCCCTGTGCGTGCACCCACTCCAATGAGATCAGCCACGCCCTTCTTTCAAATGGAATCAACATCTAGTTCTCTTGGCATTCACAACCCATTCAGCATCAGGATTGATCATCTTCTTGACGAACTTGAAACGAACTTGGACGAACGCCARGARGAGATYGAAAATGTTACCTTCGTYATCCTTAGACATGTCAGCAAGCTTAAACAAATCTACACATTYTACAGYRGTCTYGGCCAACAAATGTCTTCTGATAATACATTTGCTTTGACGCGCTTACAGTTCTGGAGATTCTTGAAGGACTGCCAGGTACACCATCATGGTATAACYTTAGTTGAGATGGATCGATTTGTGGATCCAAGTGGACGATCTACAGACATTCATGAGCCWCACTACAAAGTACTATCCAGAGATTTTGTTAATGCTATAATTATCATAGCATACAATATATTCCGCCATCAGTTTGACAACAAGGGAATGATATTTGCGGAATGCACCTCAAAGCTGATATCTAATAACATTCTTCCAAATGCCTGTGAGTTACAAGGGATGCTGTTTTCTGACCCCWCTAGAACAGAAGAAGCAAGCAAATACCTCAATAAATCCTGGGATATTTTCCTTAGTCTTTGCAATCCAGCTCCAAGTTCACCTCAYGAACCAACCTTCAAGACTAGAGAGTTTCTCCACATGTTGAATGACTTAAAGCTACTTAACGACATTCTTACCCCAAAAGATGTTATTGGCATTTTATCCAAGGATAACCCACACCTTGCCCAGTACGATTTCTACAATCTGGAACTGGAAATGACATTCCTGGAGTTTTTTGAAGGGTTGATAGATTGTGCTGGGGTGTATGTTACTGATACCATGATCATGGAAGTCCAGCATGGGAAGGTTAGTCCTGAGCAATCCATGAGATCTAGAAGTGCCGAGTGTTTTACGTCATTGACATCGAAGCCTGAGGAACCTATTGAAGCAGGTAGGCAATATGAAAAKTTTTTTTTGTATCACCATCAGGGCAAACAGCACTAACTGTGGTCCATGTTGGTGGTGCTTTTACCATATCATTTTTGTTTTGACAGATCTAAGCAAAAGTGCAACCTGCAATAGCAATTGACAGCTGTACAATAAAACCACTGACTTTATACTAAACAAACTGGCAGTCAGATCAAAGGTTTTGGCTTGATTGACAGCTGTCTATTGCTAATTTGCAATTCATTTGTTTGGACTGTCATTGATAACAACAGACTTCAGTCGTGAAACCAGTAACAATCTGCATGGTAACGCTAGCAGCAAAAGAACTTTTGGAAAATACTTATCATAGACTCTWCTACTTGGTTTTTGTCATATTGTGTTACTACATTATAWWWTTTTGTCTTTAGATGKWGAAAATACTGAAGGAACACAAACAGAAACACCAGCACACAATTCCTCCCCCGACAGATCTCGGCCAGCTGTAACAGAACCGTCAGAATCTAAACCTGTTACTAGGGAATCTCTCACCAAAACCAGAGAAAGTAACACAAAAGAAGGTTAGTGTCATTTTGAAGACATTTTCAGGGGGGACCATCCTTTCCACAAGGGACCAAAATGTTATTTYAGTWGTTCCCYTTTGGAATTGGTCTGTACTTCTCYTTTGATCATTTCATTATATATCAAGATTTCTTGAGATTATTATGCCTTATCAAAAAGCAAATGATATCATTTCTTATAGGATCAATCAGGTCTCCAAATCAACCTCAGGGAACACAAGAAGAAGCTAAGAGAGGAGCATCACACCATTCACTYGCAAATACATCCCAGCAATCAAATATCAAAATAATGACTGCTGAAACATCTGAGGGACAAGGTAATGATTTGGTTACAAACGCAAGTAATAGGCAACAACAAATCATAGTTGAAAGTTTAGTTTTATTTTAAAAATCTTGAAAAAAAAAAAATTATCGATTGGCTAAGCATCATTAGGTACTGGCCATTATTCATCAGGGGGGATGGTGTAACTCAAAAATCTATGATATAGTTCATTTGAATGATATTTAAGTATATGACCCACCCTTTTACCAATATGTACCTCCCCCCACCCCTCCGGCTGAAAAATGATCAGTCCCTTATGAGCCTGACCACAGTTTATCTGATGACCATTAGGCTCAAGTTGTCCATAAAGCTAACAAWGTGCTTTATTGATCTAATATCAGGTGCTGAAGGTCTAGGGGATTCTCCAGCCCCTSCCTCAGGGGATGACCAACAGAGTCCAAGCCCCGAGGTGGCACCRAGCCCCCAGCAAACTGAACATGGCTTGTCRCAGTATTGGGCCACMCAACTGACCATCTTCTTTGAGAAGTTCTTCAGGGCTGCAGACAAATTGGACATGATTAAGACAATAACATCAAAAAGTAAACTACAAAAAGAGAAATAACTGTGGAGAATTTGATGGTGAAATGGATTAGTGATGTTGGAAACTCATTATTTGAGCTTGTTCAAACTGTATAGATGTCCTTTTTTAAAAAAGAAAATATGAACGAGTTATATTAGTTCTATTGTTTGCATACTGCAAACTTTTCACTTTTCAGTGAAGTTGTGCATCATCAAGAATTGTTGTAAATAGGTTCAAACATTTTGTCCAAAGTGTAGTTAATCTTGCATTTTGATAAATAAATTTGTAATAAAAAAATTGTTTTACAAAGCATTTCTTGGTAACTCAGCTAGAGGTAATGGATAATGCAATGCCACTGTAAAATTCAAATTCGACTCTTCAACACACATGCTAGGAATTGAATCAGGAGGTTGCTCCGACCATTTTACCCCATGTAACCCCCTTCATTCTTACAAAAATGACCCGCACCAAAAATAAAATAATAGCGAATATTACCATGTGCTATCTTTATTCCCAGAGCTCTCTCTGCAATACCTCCTATACTCTCTAAGGAATAACCTTTCTACTTTAAAACTAAATTGTCTTTCTTTCATGCTTCGCCAGCAAGTGCAGTTGAATTGACATCTCTCAATATTATCCTTACTTCCAGCAAAAGGATGCGGGAGGAGCCAATCTCCCACCCTTTCTYCCTCATCCCTTATTTCYGAGACATTTCTGCATGCAACATCGATATTCTGGTTTTCCAATCCTTATTTTTCACTGTAATTTTGTTGCGCGACCGCCTTACTTTCGAACGTGCTTGAAATTTGGATGCAACTTCGCGGCCGCAACATTCGCARGGCTGTTTACACSTACGATTCGAGTTGCGCGCGRTAGCAMAGTGGCGATTGTCTCGCGACAATCTCACTGCAAAAATCGCAAGTGTAAACGTAGAGGTAATAATCCCGTMTCTTTTCAGTGTTCCTCGGTCCTATCATTTCTTCCATTCCATATTCCTCACAAAAGGAAAAATCAGACCTTTCTCTAATAATATGATTTGTTCTAACAAGCACAAACGTTGCTTTATCAATATCACAATTGCGCGTAGTCATGATGGCGTCATCAATACAGATAGACTGAAATACGTTACATGTAGTGCACTACATTGTTGCCAGCAACATGCATCTTCAACGTTTCTAAGTTGAGCCAACCCTGAAASTGGYAGCACAATTGTTGATTTTAAGAAAAAGCATCTCAGTTCAGAAACATCAGGTACATGTGGTGAGCAACAACGTCGCAAGTCTCTTACCTGAACCACGACCAAAGTTATAAAACCAGTGAAATAGATGCCAAAATTGATATGCATACTCAATTGTGGGTCTTAGGGTTGATTGGGGTGGCTTGATATAAATGAATAAAAGGAGAACTTAAATCAGAATGGGACCAACACAATGACGCAGTATCGTTTTGAATGAAAATTTTCCWGAGCCCAAATTATGTCGACATAATATATTTTTTATGTATTTTTTTTGCGGCCACTCTAACTCCTTTGCAAAGTTCTGGATCCGCCACCATTACTTTCAGTCTTCAGGAGTCTATGAACTAGGTATTAAATTTCAAATAATTTTGATGGAAAGATGCTACTGAAAACGCTCTGTTTATTAACATAGTTGCCTTGTTCTGCTCAACATGCTATAAACTTGACTATTACAAACAAACAACAACAAATCACTAATACACAATGGCACTGCAACAACATATAATCAACAAAAAAGCAMAACAACCGAWTATCAGGASAGTTACTATTAACAGTTTATTGTATGCTTTGTAAAACGGCAAAAATGAATTTAAAAAAGTTGAAAGCATCTATCTCTGATCAATAAGACTGTCTTGTAAAATATTATATTAACGCTTTTCCAACAATTTCCAGTTAGGATGTATACACATGAAAAAAAGGACACAAACTTCCCATCATTTTTTTACTAAACTATTGTTTCTAGTCTTCGGTATGAAATTTAACTGTAACTCAGTATGTTTGTATCTCTTCTTGAATGAAAAGTAGGTTAGTCTCTATATCTGTGTATCTGCCTATTGCTTTATACAGGTCKTTTTGTAATGTTTCTTTTAGATCACCACCGTTGAGGGTGATATCCACGACCTCCTCTTGCTCTTCCAGCAAACTGTGGAGAACCRCGCATGAGGGGACTTGCACCCCGGCCATATGGTGATGGTTGAGCTCTACCTGGACCTCCATAGTAAGAGCCAGCTAGGGCCTGGCCCATTGCACCTTGAGGAGAGTATGCCTGCATTTGGGGTGGACCTCTGCTCGGTGGCTGACTTCCCCCAACATGTTGTGATGGAGGTTGAGCACTCATATGTGGTAGGCCTCTATTTGGTTGGGGTTGCCCAGCCATATGCAGATGGCCTCTGTTTGACGTTGGATGGCCACCCATKGAGGGAACTCTATTTGATGGTGGGAACCCACCCATTTGTGGTGGCGCCCTGCTTTGTGGGGATACTACTCCCATTGACAGCGATTGTGATGATAAGGCCTTCTGTCCACCAGACTGACTGCTAGGATTTTGTAGATATCCTCTTCCAGCACCACTTGAGTTAGGATGCACCCCTCTACCTCGTGGCGAGAATCCCCTTCCACCAATAGCATTTGGCCCACCTCCCTGACTGTAAGGAGGCGGTGGTGGAGGAACACGCTTTGGTTTTGTGCTTGCTTGCCCTGGTGTCACAGTTGAGATGGGTTGACCTGGAGCTGGTCCAAGTAGGGATTTTGCATTGATTGGTGTAGCACTCTTTTCTGCAATCTTAGAAGAAGTTTCTTTTGTCTTTTGAGTAACATTAGGCTTTTGTTCTGGCTTTGATGGCATTTTTGGTTTTTCTGGAGGCTTTTGTTCTGAAGCAATCTGTTTCTGTTGAGATGGTTGTGGTGTCTTCTGCTGTCTTTGCTGACCGACATTTGTCTTGCTTCCTGTATTGGATGATTTAATTTGGTCCGTATGATCTTTTCTGCTGATTTGACTCTGTTGCCGCTGATTTTTCTCCTGGTAGGACGATTTTTTCCCGGTACCCTGTGTTGACAAATTTTGTTCCGTTGACCTGGRTTTCTTTTGGTCTTGGATGGGTTTCTTTTGACCACTTTTATCAGCAGATGATGGCCTTTCACTTCTGTTTGGTGCAGAATTTTGACGCTCGTTGGTTGTGATTGATTTGCTGYTACCTTTATCAGATGATTCTGGTCTTTGGCGTTGGTTGCTTGCTTCTTGCCTTTCACTTTGATTATGTTTGGTTGGTTCTGATCTATTACTTGAAGCTGTTCTGCCTTGATGAGAAGAGCTTGATCGACCACTTTCGAGTTGTTTTGGTGGAGTCATTCTTTGCYGAGGTTTCCCAATTTCTGYGAGTCTCTCTGGCTGAGCTGAGCCCTCAAGGGAAGCTTCCCTTTGCCTGCTTTGMTGAGGTGTTGGTCTTGACTTATCAGGCTGATCCTTCCTGGCAGTACTGTCTTTGTAAGGTGCATCTCGTATTCTACTATCTTGTGGTCTCTGGCGTGTGGYCTCTAAATCTCTCTGCGAGTTCCCATACTCTTGTACCTTTGATTCTGATCTATGATGTGGCCTATTATCTCTTTCATTGTCATAAAGGGGGTATTGACCACTGTATTCAAAGAATTCTCGATACTCATGCTCACTATCTTCTATTGACATAGACACAACACTTCGTCTTGAGCTGTCACTCTCGCGGTCTACTGATCGCCTTCTTGTTTGTCGCTCATTTTCAAAGTCTCTGGGTAAACGTTCACTGTATCTCTGATGATCTTCTGAAGGATGTGAATGGGGACGTTGATAGTCAGAATATTCATCTCGATCTGAATACCTCTCCCTTGACTTGTCATCATAAATGGATCCTCTATATTCATCGCTTTCTCTTCTGTAATCATGACGGTAGTCATAATCTTGGTGTTCTCCTATCGATTTTTTTCCATGTCCATAATCTCTTGTTATGTGTTCTGATTCTTGTCCCTGTTCAGTATTTCCACTTGATTCTCTGAGGTGCCATTCCCTTAGTCTCAGCCTATCGTAGTCCATCACTCTCTTTTCGTCTCTGCCATCTTCTGGAGTTTCACCATATCTGTCAGTCCTGGATTCCTTGCGATCGTGCCAACTGGAATCCTCCTTATCTTCCCAGGATTTCTTCCGTTCGATTTCTCTTTTGTCTGCTACGTTTCTACTTTCTTCTGAGTCCCTATCAGATGCACTAGATCCCTTTTCACCTGGCATGCTACCAATAACTGACTGAAGAAGTGACGATTTTTCACGAACAAATAGTTCAATGTGCTTCATGCTCTTAATATGGAGATCCTTAGCTATTGGGGACTCAATATGGCATTTGCACAATTTACAGAAAAATTGCTCCACTCCACGTTCTGAAATGCGGACAATACATTCTTGTCCGACATCCTGATCATCAGTTTTCATCAATGRACTATCATCTTTACTAGGTGGCTTTACAGAAATTRGATTTCCTTTCTTTAGGATTGACTTTAATGGCTTTTGATGTGATTCTTGTCGTTGTGAGGATTGTTCTTCACGAATCACTGGTTTTGGTGGGCCCAGATCCATTGGAGCCTCCATTGGTTTAGCTTTAGCTGGATCTTCATATGGCAAACCTTGGGTTTTGGCAAACTGTGTGAGCTGTGCACCAAGAAACGAAATTAGTTCCTTTTCTCCAATACCTCTTGCTGCCATTTCCAGCATCAATGTTGGATTAGCTTTTGCAGCAAGTTCAGATATCAGATTAGCAGCTGGAATTCCAGGAGCAYTTGGCTGTTCGTGAACAGCCATTGGTTCTGGACCAGAAGTCACGTTTTGGTTTATTGAATGTGGATCARYTGCTTCAGATTGTTGGTAAGTATGTCCTTCCTGAGGGTATTGACCCTCTGTTAATGGTTCAGCTAYTTCAGGATAAGCACCTCCAGCACCGTCATACCATTGCTGTTCACCTTGATAATTTTCCCATTGYCCAGTATCACCTTGTTCTATGGACATTAAAAAAAACATTAATATTATTACATATTATCAAAGTAAGTAATACAATTTCATTGAAGAATAACCTTGGAATTGTTCGTCCATGTAGTAAGGTTCCTGGAYTTGACCACCGAATTCATACTGTTCTTGTCCTACAATAATAGATTAAACATAAAGACAAACTAAAATACAACTATCCTTTGGAAAAACTACAGTTTACCTGCTTCATATCCACCATGATATTCCTGGTTACCCTGCCATGCTTCTTCTTGTCCCTCTGTGCCGTATTCCTGGCCCTGTGAACATCAATGTTGTTATTAATAAATTATAAGGTACTATATGCAGACAGTGAAATGAGATGTGGAAAAAATGTGTTCTTTTCCTGGAAATACTCATCTAGGACAACTACCTACAACTCCTCAAATGCTTATTGCACAATTGAAAAWGTGAAGCATATTCATGAATTGCCATTGTCWATATTCGACATCAGCTTTTACCACYAAATCAACCCAAGAAAAGACAATGGGAAAAGGCAARAATGTTTYCCWGCACTCTCTTCTTGAATTATTCTCCAAGTGACCACAAGCAGAACAATGAAAATAGCCATGCCTCAGCCATTTACATTATTTGAAATCGGTGCACAAAGCCACATGAACTGTGTCTGCACATTTCAAAATACGAAAAGGATTACGAGAAGATTTATCATTTTTTACTACATGTATATTTCGGCCTTTATCCATGTAGTAAATAATATACATGTAGTAATATACATGTAATATACATGTAGTAAAAAATGATAAATCTTCTCGTAATCCTTTTCGTATTCAAACTATATGCCCAAAAGAATATATTTACATTTCAAAATGTTTTCAAAAACTCTATTCTCAGAGTTGTTTTTGAAAATATCAGTTTTTGTGTGCAGTCCTGAAGCAGTTATCATATACACACCTARAAAAAATAGAAACCACATACCTCAAATGGGTTCCCTTCTACGTATCCTTCAGGTCCTTCGTATCCTACAATATTGCCCTCTGCGTCATAGTAATAGTAATATTCACCTTCCTCGTTAGGATGAAATTCACCATTTTCATCATACCATCCTTGCTGGTATTCTTCACTATAACCACCCTCAGGGTACTCCTGATAGGTTTGGCCATATTCATTGTATGCCTCCCCCTGGAAATCACCTTGAGCACCTTCAACAGTAGCAGCATTTTCCATYCCACTTGACTCGAGTTCCTTTTCTTTTTTCTTCTTTTCTTTCTTTTCTTTTTTCTCCTTTTTCCTTTTGCTCTTTTCTTCTTTCTCTTTCTTTCTCTTCTCCTTTCGTTCTTTCTTGTCTTCATCCTTGGACTTGTCATCAAATATATCTTTTGTGTTTTCACTTTCTACTTTCATTTCAACATCAATTTGGTCTTGAATGTCTACTTCCTTGGCCTTTTCTTCTTGAGCTTTTAATTTTTCTTTCTGTTCTTCTATAGAAAGAACTGGAGTCCATTTCCCTCTGGCTTTGTTCTCTTGAGGCCAAGGCTTTGCATTGAACACTTTATCAATTTCTTTAGCAAACTCATGTCTTTGTTCTCTATCTTCTTCTGTTTCTTTYGGTGATTCAGGCTTTTGAATTCTTTCCTCTGGCTCTTCATGMGCTTCAAAGACAGGGTGGGTCTTAATAGAGAGACCACGCCCTTTGGGTATCTGCATACCCTTAGAAATTGTTTTTGTCACTGTTCTTGGTAAGAAGACACCAGATCCAGCTGCTACTTTAAGTTCTTTAATAGCCAAAGCTGCTACAGCAGGCGACAAAGAAGGATTAGCTTTTGGCTTCTCTTTGGAAGACTTTTCTGGATCTTTTCCTTGGGGAACTTTGATACTTTTATCATCTGATTTTGAATCATTCCTTTTGTTGTTAGAATCTGCTGTTTTGCCATCTTTATCAGTAGGTTTGTTCTGCTTGGTCTTTTGTTTGTTAGAGCCACCTTTCCGATCTTTGTTTGTGTAAACTTCATCAAAACTCCAACTTCTACTACGGTCTTTCCTTTTTCTACTTCKACTTCGACTTGAACTTTTACTTCGACTCCTCRGCCTTTCTTTGCTGTGTCCCTGATTTTTTTTACTTTTACTGCGACTTGTGCTTCGGCTTGAACTTCTACTCCTGCTACGACGTCTTGTTGTTCTGGACTTCCTACTTTTACTTCGGCTACGACTTCTGCTTCTTGAACGTGAGCTGGATGAATAGCTACTTCTACTAGAGCTTCTTCGTCTCTTCTTGGTTGAGCGTCTTCCACGGCTCCTGCTGCGACTTCTACTACGAGAACTTGAACTACTTCTGCTGCTYCTTGAGCTACTTCTGCTTCGTCTTCTGCTTGATGATTTATTTGAAAATATATGCCTTCCTCTTAATGGAAAGACACCTCGTCCWCCACGTAAACCTCTGGCTCTTCCTCTGCCACGYACAAATGTGTCATCAAGTCCTCTGCCTCTGCCCCTGCCCCTCCCTCGTCCACGAATGCCACGCCCTCTGGCCCTWCCACCACGTGCACCTCTAACYGGTAGAGGGAAGTCTTTGGAAGAGCTTTTAGATGAAGAACTAGWCTTCTTTGATGTAGTGGTGAGAGCCTTTGGGGTAGGAGCCTTTGGGGGTAAGGATGGTCCATATGTTCCATCATCTACAKTGTCAGTCTTGGAAGAAGTCTTACCAGAAACTATATCAATGACTTTCTCCCACTTTGAAGCACTCTGATTAAGGTCTGTTGAACCTTTGGATTTCTCTTGCTTCTTTTTGTTGACATTGCTTCCTGTGAGAAGGTTGTCTAGATTGATAGTACTGCCTGCCTTGGACAAATCATTCATTTTTAARAAGTATTCTTCTTCCTCTTTTGGAAGGGCATTTGCACCTGATGAATAGAAAAACAAATTATATAAAAGAAAATAATGGTAATATTTCTTTCTTGAACAGCATTTTGAAGATAACAATGTTGTAAAAACACTATTACAAATAATACATTTAAAGTGGAAATTCAGCTGTTGTGAAAATGGAAAATTTCCACTTCATCAACATTCATTTAAGACCTAAAAGTTAGTAATTCTGCATTAATCAGCAATTCACTTGACTAATTTGTGAAACAMAGGAATCSCAAGCCAGCGTTTTGCCTACCTATTTGGATACTCCTGAGATAAGCCAATTCCTTCAATGTTTCCTCTATGTCCATCTCCTCTGGTTTGCTTTTCTTTTTATCACCTTTTCTTCCACCTGAGAAAAATGGTTTCCCTAGTTCATAGCCACTGGGGCTAACAGTTCCACCTTGCTTCTTTTTAGAGCTTTCATCACTTTTCCTTGATCCTTTATTACTTTTGTCACTTCTTCCAGAAGAAGATAAAGTCTTTCTTGAATCTTTTCTTTTACTATCAAAGACAATAGAGCCTTTTTTGGAATCTTTTGTAGAGTTYGAGTCCTTTTCACTTTGAGATGTTTTTCTCTGTTTGTCAATGAGTGATCTAAGATCRTCAGTGTCTCCTTCAAGGGGGACATTGTCTCCAAGGCGATGAGAGTAATCAAATGTCTCTACAGCAGACCTGTCACCGTATGATGGATCCACAAGAGACTTGGCTTCAGAATCTTTACCAATGTTAACAACAAGGGAACCTTGAAGCAGAGACAAAGTCAAAGTCAGTTAGCTGGAGTTTRAAACCATTCCTTGAAATTTTGATTTTAGCTCAATGATGTAGTGATTTGACATAGTTACACCAGGGACGTGGTTACACCATGTATACCTGTTTGATCGTTGCCTTCAATAGTTCTTGATAATTTAGGTATTTTATCCCTAAGATCGCTTGATTCGTTATCCGAATTGTCTCTCAATCTTTTGAAGCCCTAATGAAAAACAACAAGAACACAACTCCATTGGAWTCTGGCAGCTAAATTATGCACATAAAAAGAAAATAAAAAAATATGAAGCCCATGCCACATATGCATGACACAAGGGCAATAATAAGATGGGAAATACATTGATAAGRACAGAACCTACAAATGATGAAGACAAATCCACTATAAATAATGWTCTGGAACAATTACATCAATTATTATCTTTCAAAATAATATTGTAAAGAATTCAAACAATCAATTTCAGACTGTAACATAATACATTGTAGTATTTAGTACAACCTTGTAATGGTTAATAGTTATAATCCTTTTGGGCACTGAAATTTATGGACACCTTCTTATCAAGGACAGTTTCTACTAGTGTAAGAACAGTTTTCTCTGGATATTTGAAGTCTATTAGAGATTCTTCAGTGCATTGTAGTATAAACAAAATGGTTATATCYTTGAGCTAAGACCAGCTAAAGCCAAATATGTACACTTTCACTAACTGTTAGTACTACTAAGTAAAAGAGATCAAATCCAAGTTTCCAATACTGCCTTTTGTCTTACCTTCAATGACATAACCTTTTTGAGCAAAACGTTTTATTGCCAACTTAGGAGATTTGTAATGAAACAGTCAAATTAAAACCCTTGCCTCCCAACCCTCAAGGGAAGACAAACTAACACATAGCTTCCAATTTAGCAGCTTCAATCCACTGGGTGTGACTTATTGTTGAATTCAATGGAAAGGGTCTGCTTAGCCATCTTTTTTGACACTATATGGGCCTGGAAATACCAGGACTTGCCCAGGTATTCCCTGGTGGTTGGGAGTCATGGTTTCAATTGACTGATTTATAAGAGAACATTGTGAAGACCTTACTTAAACATAAGCCACCAAACACAGGATATGAACATATCAGATTGCTGAATGTTCATAATCATTAGCTACTAATACTTCATATCGTATATTAGCCAAATTTTTACGGCAATGACATTTAAATGCCATTGCGGTTTATATTGCAATGTATAATCATGGCCTCATCATTCTTATACACCATGTTGAATAATGTATCTTCTAAGATTGTTTTGTGTCCTGTGGGAAAAAAGCAGGGAAACCTGAGATATCAATATGAATTGTTTTTACATGTAATTGGGAACCAACAATACATTGTGACTGTGTGGATAAAGAGGAATTATGTAACTATGCCTTTACAGAGAGCTCYATTGTAGAATTAATGCTTACRTCCTGATGTATTKTTGCCTTTTTTCAATGCAAAGGCATAGCTACTTTTCAAGAGCAAAGATGAAGCACAGACGTTWCAAGATGACTAAATAGAGTGCACGCCAAAAAAGCGTGAAACMATTTTTAACAATCAATAACTTATGTGGCGTGCACTCTATTACACAAACATCAGTTTGCATTATTTTGTTAGAAATTGCATTCAAAACACAAAGAATTCATAGACAAGGACAACTCACCAGTGTCTAAAAGGAAGAACCATCTTCTTCTTGGAAGAAAATAATACACTATCTTTCATTATCCTTTGCATTATAGTTTTTAATGATTGTTTTTACATTTAGATAAAGCAATGGCAAAGAATTGAAGCTCAGATGGGTATGGAACCCATGGCTGTACATACATTCAAGATACTGTATACGTTATATTTATAACTAAAGAAGTGAATAAAACAAGCAGGTGACTRTATCTCATTGATATTGTCATTACTTTACATCTCTTAAAATGAGATATCAAAARGATTTATTGCTGCTCTAATATGGAAAAATAAAATGTTCGTGTATGTATAGATTTAAGTAGTAAGAGAGATATGTCATGAGATTTGGGTATTTTTTGTAGAGCTTTTTTGTTTGTTTTGAAGGTTAATAGCCAGATGTTTACTGATTCTTACCAAATGTCAAAATTTGTGAATTAATATTCATAGACGAATTTCTAACCATGCTTAATGACCAATAGCCAAATGCACATGTACATAATTTCATAAACTTAGTATTTACAAYGTATGTCATCTTTGAGGAGAACAAGAAGTACTGTCGATTGGCACACGTCTGTCATCACACTGCATTATATTTCCACTGTTTCTCTCCCTTTCCTCCTAATCATTCATTTCTCCTGTTCATCAAAAACCAGGTGTGTTTTGTGTGGGGTTAGTGCTGTGATATGGGATTGYCTTGTGCTGGACAAAATTGGACCTAAATCCTAAATTATTATACATTTTTATAATCATTAGACCAAATAATCGAAGACAATTTACAGAGTTTCACTGAAAAACAACTCTATGAAGAATCATGCTGTCAGAAAGAGAAACAGAACTCTTCCAAAGAGCACAACTTTTGAATTATTTGATTACAACTATTTCAAGTAACTAAGATGCTATAATACATATTTATGTCTAACTTAAACATAATTTACAAACTACCGAGGCTATTACTGAGAGAGACAGATTGCTTTTAGCTTTATTGTACTTTACCTCAGCGCCAGACACGTTGTCTTGATCGGATTTGGCATCACCACCACTTTCTTTGCGAGCACTTTCGTATCTCTCCCTTGCTTCTTGCTTTGAAGGAGCATCGAGCCTTTTCTTTCGATTCATTGGCCTCGGCATCTTCCTAATCTAAATCTCAGGTCGCAAAAACATCGAAAAAAAATCCAAAAGACTTGAAGTATCTACATTAACCTCATAAAGGTCGCACGGTAGAGGGTACTGAGATAGCAGTTTTCACTTCGTAATATTCGACCAAAAACGATATAGCACTTTMGCAGTAAAGGAGAAGCAATAAAYAKYTGTTCGATGGCCTTTTAGAGTTAATTCCTTYCCATCAAAAGCTCAAAATAAGGAGTAAGTTTAGAACAAGCCCCATTTCTGTATTTCGGTCTCCACACATGCAACTACACTGCCCATGAACCATTGCGGTGTGTAATTGATATCCCTCGGGACGCGGGTCTTATGGCTGTGCGTTGCGGGATTGTTGATCATTCTTTTTCTATGGGAGCATAATTAATAGATGGGGGCAAAAAAAAAACAAACAAAAACAAAACAAAGAGCTTTCATTTGAGAAAAAAGAAAGATGTGCGATGCTCACGAAATWAATTTTTGCACAATATCATTTACTTATTTGGGTCAGGGGGCTTCTGATGCCGTCTCACTCGGGGAATTAGAAGCAACATGGCCCAGAGGAGACGTCTGATATTCAGGCTACGGGCTTCCATGTACCTTGACATTGAACATTTCCACACTGCATAGTCAGCCAGACTTTTATATATTTATTTTATTTTTRATAACTTGGCTTGGAAAAAAGAAGTCATGTCCACCTAGAAACACATCCATGTACTTCAATTTATTCATATGTATTCAAATGATGTAAAAATGCATTTAAAATGAGCTTTTTCACAGATCTGATCATATCATCCAATTAACAACAACATTTTTTAAACAGTACATCTGTGCATTAATACTAAAATTCAAATAAAAAACAACTAGTTTTAAGAACAACAATTTTTTCTTGCTGGAGCTTGATCCGTAACCCTGTGATGATCTTGATTTCTATTTGATGTTCCATAAGGGGGAGCTATTTGTTCCTGAGGTAATTTTTTACCTAAAAAGAAACATAAAAAAAATACAGTCAAATTGATGTGCTTTTATTTTGCTATGTGCACAGTTGGTTCAACTATTATAACAGTCTATTTTTGCAGGGTAATAATCAATTTATGGTCTCCTATTCAAACACCAGTCTAAGACAGTGTCATATAATACTTACACAACTCTTCAAAAAGAAAATATACATTATGGGATGTACGGGCACTTGTTTCAGCAAACACTGCGTCTACACTGTTTGCAAAATCTTGGGCTTCCTGTGTTGGCACCTACAWGAAGATAGCAATATATAATGAACAAATCAAGGCAGTGAAAACATAGTCTCCTTTGCAGCCTCCCCTTTTGTTGGGCTTCCTGTCCCTTTTGTTAGAGACAGGAAGCCCAACAAAATGGAAGGCTGCAAAGGAGACTAGTGAATACACTCAACCACTTATCTCTCATTTGACAGATTGATGAAATGATGTTCGTAATGCAATCAAATGTCCTAGTGTTTGCTAACCCCTGTGATTAATTTTTTATGGGAAAATAATCTTTTTAAACATTGATTTCATGTCAGTCTGCACATTAATTATTTTTTGCACAGCCTTGATCAGCACATCTTGATGTATCATAACATGACTTACTTCACGATGATCAGCTTTGTCACATTTGTTTCCAGCAATGGCAATGACGATATCTGGTGTGCCATATCGCTGTAGTTCACGTATCCATGGCCTTAATGCACGAAATGTTGCCTTTAAAACAAATATAATTGTTCATAATAATCTATAATTCAACAATGCCACAATGATAGAGTGCACGCCACATAAGCATGAAACAATTCTYAAGTAATTAGCGCCTAATAAGATTTAGTTATCAACTAACTAAGAATTTAGTGAGGCATAAACAAAGACAAGTTTCCTTTCTGACATTGTGTTCATGCCCCAGTGAATTCTTAGTTAGTTGATAACTAAATCTTATTAGATATTGATAGTTAAGACTTGTTTCATGCTTTTTTGGCTTGCACTCTAATTCTTGTTCATAGTTTGTTTAGTTCAATTATCTATTTTTTGTAACTTACATTAAACATTTTTATATGCCTTACAAATTGTATTTTTTAAATATTGGTACTTAGAGAAGCCTGACATTGACTCTTAGCAAACATCTTAGATCAATTTCAACAGTACCAAGTTTAGCATACAATAATTTTTAATGATGAAGAGTAGTCTGCTTCACTGCATTCTCAGTGTCATGCTCAGCTTTAACTAGAGATGCAAGAAGGTAGAAATCACTTGATAAAATACTTACATCTGATGTTATATCATAAACTAAAATAGCAGCAGCAGCATCTCTATAATAAAGTGGAGCCAGGCTTTTGAACTATGAAAGGATAAAGACAAGTTTGGAACATGAACTGATAAATAACCAWTGACTGCTACTACATGTAACTGTAGTCATCTTTACACTTTGTAAAAATTATACTATTAAAAATTGAGATGATTCAGTTATATTCAGGGAAGAAGAAAGAGGGTCTACCAGGAAGTCCTGGTTGCTTAGTATTCACTGGAAATGGTTACTGCCTGGGGCTACCTCAAGCTAACCATGTATACCATAGAGAGTTTCACARATATTAACATATTGATAAATAATTACCCTTTCTTGACCAGCTGTATCCCATATATTGAACTTATATGCATCTTCTCCTATGATCATCATCTTTGTCATGAATGCTGCCCTATTGTTGAAAAATACAGATAAGTAAATCTCCATTGAGTAATTGTAACAAATCCTACAAGCTTGAATTCTATCAATATGCAGTGAGAAAAAGAATACATTTATTGCTACTTTACTCCCACATGGTTGGGAATCCTTTGTGGTTTATTTTATAATAAAAGTAAAAACAGATGTCGGCATGCTTAATATCCATAAACACATTTATACCTAAAGAGAAATTACAAAGAGAACAAAATGAAACAATGCTTCTCAATGGTTATTTCATAACTGCTAAGTGATCTCTTCTATAAACATAAGGCAACAATTGATTTTTCWCAGCTGTAGTTCACTACTTTTCTGAAATTATTATATGAATCACATATATAATCCATATAAATTTGATTTTTATCATAGTTAATAAAAATTCTTCATATTTAATGATGAGTCATATTTATTTTCAAAACTCACCCAATTGTTGGCGGTGATGCGGGATTAAAAACATCGGATACGAATCTATGTACAAGGCAAGATTTCCCAACACCAGCATCCTGTCAAAAATAATCAAACGTATTTTCTAAATTCAAATCGAACTTTTGAATTCAAATTCTTGAAATACTTTACCCCGAGTAAACAAACTTTGAGCTCTCTAATGGAGTCCGTTTGAGAACTGTAAGAGCTCATTTTGTTATGAATTCAATTCCCKGCTATTTAAAGATTCACATGACGGCTTCATCAATATAAAACTCAGTTCCTCTGTCAAAGCAATTCCGGTTTTTCAAAGGGGAAGAGAAATTGCGAACTGACATCAAAAAAACGACAGGCATTCCAAGTGCTTCCGGCTCGCAAGGAAAACTGGGTCCGAAAATGAAAATGAATGTGCATGCCGGGAGTCAGGAGTCTGCTGGGAAAAATGTGAGAATTTTGMAGATAGCACACCTCACCTAGGACTAAAATTAAAATAGACAAAACAATAAACRCATCAGCAAACATCATTTTCGCTTTTATTTTGGTTTCCTCCTGTTTTCCTCGTTTTGACGTTTTTTAACATAGAGTAGATGGGTTGCCTATGTAATTGCAGCCCAGGAGGACTGGGCGGAGATTCAAAKTAAAATGGCGGCTAAAAGCAAGGAAGTCAAGGTTTGTAGAAAATTTGTTATGGTCTGTTATATTAGAAAAGCTTTTTCTCCTAATATTAATATTTCGGTTTCTTGTGTGTCATTTCACAGTCCTCTACCGTGAACTGGAAGCCTGTTTTGCGAAAGCCTTTGTGAGTGATAAAAAAMTGAAAGTTTATTCTTGTTGCTATGTTTTTGTGATGTTTTGTTTTTTTTTCTTTCCCTCTGGTTTTCTTATCAGTGATAACAGTAGGGTCATCAAGTTCAAGTGCTCTTTACAAAATACAATATTAGACGTATTGCGATCAAAAGGATGGACTGAAGTGCGAGAGTAAGTRCTGAAATAATTTTTTTCAAACGTAAACAATAACACAGGAATCCCGCGAGTTTCGGTCAACATACAAATTTATTGTTTTCAATCGAATTTTTTAGAATATATAAAACTATTCCTGATTTAGGATTCCAGTGTCAGTCTATTGAATTAATTCGACACATAACAAAAATTATTGTGTTATTCAGAGGAGAAGGAGACTGGGACTTTCACTGGTGTGATATTGGATGGATGAGGGAATTCTTTGACCATACTTACATGGAAGAACATGTCAAGATATGTCATTTTAGAAATCATTACGAGGTGTGTAAGTATGTCACAAAAGAGTGATTTCCATGTCATGCTGAAGGGGGAGGGGCTTAAGTTACCATATATAGAGGGGTGGGATGTAAGTCACATTATTGTCATGATGTTTATAATTTCAGTTAACGAGAAAAAATTTGATGATAAAGAATCTGAAACGACTGAAGAAAACCYTTGAAAGAGAATATGGGAAAATAGAAGCAGCGAAGTATCCTTTCATTTTTTTGTTACATTTAGAAAATTACGCAGTTGCACATATACAAACATGATTGCTTTTTTAAATTAAKTTTCTATTGAGCTTAACTCTACAAAAGATGCGATTTTTACCCAACAACATTTGAATTACCAGTAAGTAGTAATAAAAAAAACATTTTGTCCATAATGATAGATCTGTGATCTGATTTACATTTTTTTTCAAAGATGGAATATCATATTTTTGTGGAAGAATTCAAAAGAAATCCTGGTTCTACATGGATTATGAAACCTGTAAGAAATAATAATTATACATGATTGTATAATTAGTAATAATATATTAATTATTCATACCTAATATCTGTGTTGGAAGAACTTATTATATAGTGTAACACAGCGTATCAAGTCTGATTAATTTGACTGTAAATTGCAGGTTGGAAAGTCCCAAGGGAAAGGAATATTTTTGTTTAGAAAACTAAAAGATATTATGGATTGGAGAAAGGTAATATACAATTGATAGAGMTTATATCAAATCTAGATGTTGTTGACTTCAAATTCTTTTTTCGAGGTGCACCCTCTTCATGGTCCACACATTTAACACATCTGAATATTTATTATTTTTCTTCTTAAATTTTATAGGAAGATCCATACAGAGCTCAACAAATAGAGGAAAGGGTAATKMCTATAAAGAATCTTAACTTATTWAAGTTATCAAAATTTTTAGTAATARTATGCAAGTTTATTTTATTGATRTGATAAACAAAATKCAWTTTACACTCATTGATTTTCATAGCAAAAAGATGACAAGGAACCTGTAGAAACTTATATTGTTCAAAGATATATAGAAAATCCATACTTAATAGGAGGTAAAGTTTGCTTTTTTTTGTCTTTTGGAGAGCAGAAAAATATATAATAAATAATATATTATGGGAAGAGCTCTTCTTCTAAAGACTGATSCATGATTCAATGTGAGCTTAAACATGTTTAACACTGATTTTGCAATCTAATATCAACATTTCGTGATTCTAGGAAGRAAGTTTGACTTGAGAATTTATGCCCTTGTAACATCTGTAAGTACCAATTGAATAACATACTTAAAGGGACACTGTCAATGGCACGCRTGCACGAGTAGACTTGAAAACATTAGTCTAGTGTTTTCAAGTTTATGACTCCAAGTTGGYGCGACATAAWTCAGCTCGTAAACGTAAACAGATCTAGAATATTCCAAAGTGTGTCAAAAGCACCACAAAATGATTTASCTCGAAGGTAATACTTTCAAAGTTCGTTAGAGGTGAGACTGTTACTKTGCATGTCATCCATTGACAGTGTCCCTTTAACAGAAGGTCACTGGAATCAAATCAGAGGTCAWTAGCCAAGGTGTGTTGATGATAACATGCCACAAATTACTRTTATTTTYCAGTACTCTCCYCTGTGTGTCTGGCTGTACAGAGAAGGATTTGCAAGGTTTTCTAACACAAGATTTTCACTAGACTCCATTGACGACACCTGTATCCACCTTTTGCAATGAGGGGCTTGCATGAATTTGCAATAAACATAATCATTGTGACAAAACGTTGAAATTACTTTAAAATGAAGTAATTRTTCCTTAATTGATAAAAAAGATGTTCATTTAACTAACGTGGCTATTCAAAAGACTGCTCCAGATTATGACCCGGAGAAGGTAGGATACTGCTGAAGTCAAAGCTACTCTAGATGATGAGATGGTTTTTAATGGCATTTATAATCAAAGAAATTATTTATTCATGTTTTTTATTCCTTTATAATCCCATTCTATTTGCATGGTATTGATTTTGCAATTATTCACAGGGTTGTAAATGGTCGTTACAACAACTAAGACGATATCTAGTAGCAAAGAATGGTATACCTAAGGTAATTAGAGCTTCGGTTTGCCTTTGTAATGACATAGAAAACATTGAATCGAAAAAAATTCACAGCTATGTACAGTATGATCATGGCAGGCATAAGAAATATGCTGTTCAAGTGAATTGCATTTTTGTAATCAAACAATTGTTCTACACCATATTTTTGTGTACATTTAGGTCGAAAAAACATTGCGAGAAATTGATGACATCATCGTCAAAAGTCTGCAAGCTGTTCAGAAAGTTATCATCAATGATAAACACTGTTTTGAGCTGTATCCTTTKTATTATGTTATKATAAAATCACTTTGCTTGATATTGCAGCCTTGCAGCATCTTAATTAAGTAGTTTATATTCTTAACTCAGTTACTCAGATATGGTTATGACATCATGTTTGACTGTAACCTTAAACCGTAAGCATTACCTTACTTGAATTTTTTTCCAATTTCAGTGGATGTCAATGTTGAAATAATACTGCTTTTGAGCTCGTCACTGCAGGGTCTTGTGCCTCAAACTAATTTTTGCTGATTTATTTTTCACTCATTCGTTCATCCATTTGTTTGTCCATCCATTTGTTTGTCCATCCATTTATTTTTCATCCATTCAATCAATTATCCATTCATCCATTTTTTCCTCCATTTTTTCAATCATTTGTTCACTCATTTACTTATTATTTTTCTCTCCAATGCACAGGTGGTTAATTGAAGTGAATGCATCACCATCACTGACAGCAAGCAGTCAGACAGACTAYGAGCTCAAGTTCAGGCTGCTGGAGGATATGCTTTACATAATTGACATGGAAAATAGGTACATAGAAACTAGTCTCCTTCACATCCRCTTTCATGTTGGGCTTCCTGTACCTAGGGCAGGAACAGGAAGCCCGAGACAAAAACAGATGCAAAAGAGACTACATAGAAACTAGTARCTATAAATATTAATTGATCCCAATGATATTTGGACTACTGCATAAACTGCTGACATGATTTGCCGTATTTGTCATTAGGTTGACAGGACGAGAGAAAAGAGTTGGTGGTTTTGATTTGATGTGGAATGACGGACCTGTTGCCATGGACGATGCCTGCGGTGCAGACTGCATTCCACAACCTCTSTACCCAACCAACACCTTCCTAGGTRAGTGYCTATGATTTAATGATGGTAATGATTATGATTGTCAATGACAGTGATTGTGATGAGATTTTAGTTATAATGGCGTTAGAGAGATTGGAGAAATCACTACCAGTTTAGGAACATTGCCAGACTTAATGCTCTAATAGAAATACCTAAATTTTGCGATAAAAACTTACTGTGCTGTTCATTTGGAATCTTTCCAGGCTGCAATAACAGCGACAGAGAAAAACATATCAAACAGGTTTTGAAAACAGCCCAAGCTGCAAAAAGAATTTAAAACTTACAGAACTGTAAAATTGTAAACAAAGTGCATTCTTGGAAGCACTTGGATCTACATGCAGGAAAGAATTAGTAATCACCTAAGAAATCCATCCATAAATTATTTGTATATAGCTTTGTAMAAAATATGAAAAGTATACAAAAAAGTAGCCAAAATGGTAACAGCATGTAATATAAGAAATTTGTGTGAAAAAGACAATAAAATTGCTGGAAATCCCTTGGTTTAAATTCATTGATGTTTTATTGAATATTTCACACAGATTTGCCAGAGTAAAAGAAAACTGCATCTACCTGTTAGTGAGTTGAATGAACTTCAAGTGCAATATGAGGTCTGAGCCCTTTAAGGGACCTTGTAAAAGTCTATGTATTTTATGTACASAAAAATGTCTGCAATTTCAACCACAAATGGCTGCCAGCAACCATCTGAGTCTAATGCTATTTTGTATTTTCTTCTCTCTGTCTTTTTAAGCATCCATGTAATTGCTCCTTTTTTTTCTAAGGTTGATCAAAATCATGGAAATCTGTTGACAGCCTTTTGTTGGTGACTTTTTGCTAGTGACCAGCTGGACTGTCATATTGTTGACACAAAAGAATCCATCCATGACAACTTATTTGATTCCAGCTACAAAATCCATGTCTTCTCCACTCATTGCAGATAGATTGAATCCTTTGAAATCTGGCAGCCCTATAATGCAAAACAAATTATGTAAAATTATGTCTCTTGAAAAAAGACAACAGAAATCTTGTTATTTATAATTTCATTCTATTGGTGATCTTGTAATGTAGTGTGATTTGGCATAATGTGTTTCAATGTAGTGTGAAGTAATGTTAGGTAACGTCACTAAACTGTTACAATATGTCAAAAAATGCCCAGCCTGTCATGGTAGGGATATAGAATAGTGTCTCAGAGAGTCACGAGGATAACAAGCTTGGCGCTTAAAAGAAAGGGGCTTGAATTTAAAATTGCTTTTGGCTCGGAAGCTCGCAATTACCAAAATATTGGACTTGGATTTTAAAATAAGGGTCTCACAAGCTCGGTGAGGCTCGAATTTTAATATTACATGCCCCTCGTGTTAGGATATGAGTACCTTCAAGTTCATGTAGTTTGGTAACTTTTGGTTTTAGTTGTGTCCTTAAACTTGAGATTTCTTCATTCACAGTTTTTTGATCTGGGTACGGAAGATAGAAACAGCATTTACATAACACAACAGTTTATTGCCTCCTTTTGTAGCTGCTTCCCCATGAGTAAAAGTGATTTCAACATGGTTTAATGTTATCTTCAGCTAAATACAAAAATGACCCACAATCAGAAACTGTACCTTCTTCAATCATGTTTTTTGCACTAGAGTCACTTAGCTTCAGAAAGGTGTTCCCAAAACATAACCAGGACTTGTCAGCTTTTATTGAAAACAAACAAATAAGAAATGAAATCAGAATGAATGGATGAAAAAGTAAGATAAATGGTTTTAGAATAGCTAAGTACAATTTCAAAGAACAAAATTAAAGGAATTTTGAGATCAAACAAAATTTTACCTTTCTTTTTGTGTTTTAGAGCTCTCAAAGCCTCTCTGTTGCAGTTTCGCTTACGATCAAGCTCTATGATCTTCAGGCAAAAAAGACAGCTTTGAAAATTATTGTCCAAATAACTCGTTATAACTTCAAGAAAATCTTCATAATGCAAATGCGTATGTTACCTGCTGTTTGTCTGTTAAAATCTCCGCAGCCAGCTCCTCCATTTCTGTTATCTTATCGATAAATTGTGTCGTAAACCTTTGAAGTAGTAAATCTTCACTTTTGTCCGCCATCTTGGAAATGTATTGTGGGCTCAACATAGAGTCAGTGGCAATACCCATTTGGTGTGCGTAACATGAAAGCATTAGGAACCAGACCTCTCTCAGCTYTGCTTTGAAAACAAACTTTTGAGAACTTTGGCGGAAAATTCGAAAAAATGGAAAGAAAAAAAGCGTTGAAACAGGTGTTTGAGATTCTGTGAGTGAATTTTAAGTTATATCCTATGTTTATTTACACTGATTCATCACWGTTTTGGTGTATTTTAAAGTAAATTTCGACTTGTTTCAGATACGAACAGTCCTCCGAGCACAATCTTGAGAAGACATTCGTGAAATATTCTTTTAACAGAAGCAAATTAGAAGAGTCCAAGCTCAAGCTATCTACAGGCAGGTCAACTRGCAAAAATACAGGAAAAGGTATTGATATTTTGAAATTTTGGCAAATTATATTCCTGTCGAATAGATCGTTACACCCCATCCTGAAAAAATTCTGGATCCAACCCTGCATTAAGTTATATGACATTTTTCTCATCTTAAGTCTTATATAAACTAGATCATCGCTCTTCATGGAAAATTAAAGTTTATGGAAGAGTAAAAAGCTCAACAACATCAAGAAAGCGTCAAAGACCAACACAAAGACGAGATCTAAGGGGCATTGTAGACAAACTTCATTTGTCTAACATTGTTGGCAGAAAAACACAGGTCAGTACACCCAGGCAGCCAAGAAGTAAAGTAAAAAGAAGAAGGAGAAGTGACATATTCCTAATGAGAAACATTCAGAAAGTAAGACGATTTCTTGAAGTCTCAAATACAAGAGAAAGTAGCCCAGCYAAGGGCATGCAGAAGAAGACACAACAAAGTCAATTTGCACACAGTAATTCAAGTACAATTGAAAAGAAAGTGAATCTAGTAAAGAGAAGTAACATTGGGTCAAGAGCACATGCTAGACTAGATAAAACATTTGATTCTGGATTCTATGAATTCAATGAAGGATCTGATTCAACAGATCAGGATGATGTTGATGAACAAAAGTGTGCCAATGAAAAGAAATCTTCTGCTTATTTTCCAAGAACACCTGACACTCCTTTGGAAACATCGCCAGGGGTAAAGCCATCTACAGTATCAAGAGACTCTTATTTCAATTTCAAAAGGAAAAGACATCCCAGCTGTGCAAAGAAGAAAGGTGTAACTCAATCTGTCCTGTCTGAACAGAAACAGACAGAAGCAACGAGCAATGTACAGTCAAACAAGATATTGTTCAAACCTCTGTTTGGAAATCATTGTGGAAACACATGGAAGCAAATTGTAGATGAAAATTAATTTATTCAAGTAATTTATTCAAATAAGAGAAATATTCTAAGTCTGTAAAAAGAAATTTGAGACACAAATGCAATGTTGTTATTTAATTTATTGAATGAAAATGCTTAAGGGTATGCGAATAAAATGTAATATTGGTTTCCAGATCATAAAAATGTACTATAAACAAGATCAGAAAAGCATTTACATGTATGTTTTGTAGCCAAGTATAAATATTGAGTTGATTATAAATTACACTCTGTAATACTGACTGAGCTCAGTCTAAAGAAGTTGCAGTTAATAAAAAAAAAAAATAAAAGAGGTATACCAAATAGTTGCTAATCAAGAAAAACAAGTAAAGTTTGTTTATCACATTGTATCTATATAAATTTATACACGCCTTCTTGGCGGGTGAGAAAAGTAGCTCTGTTCCCAGATTACAATATTTATCTGTTAGTTGACTGATTACCTATATTACAAATCAAGATTCGATGTAGGTTAATAGCCTACATTTTTCTTATATTCCTTGTCTGATCTGTCTTTCATGGCTTGCTTCATTTCCAGGATTYTTTCTTTGCTCATTCCTAAAATACAATTAACACAATCTTATTTCAAGCACATGATAAAACATTATCAGAAAGCTCTTATTTTTACCATATTTTTTCTCTTCTCCTTTGAAGTTTCTAATGTGATTGCTYTCATCATCAGCAAATGAGATGGGATTCTTCTGTGCATTCTTCCATGCTTTCATCTTTCTTTTTGCRTCTTTCTTCATTTCCCATTTTGCAAGATCATAAAATCTAAAACAGACAACAATATAACAACGATTTTGCACAGTATAATATAAGTTAAACTCCCATGTTAAATTTCCAGTGCCTCTAGATATCATACTCTGTTTACAAACTGATTGACTAACTTTTTATGTGGAAATGTGGCTGTGTTGTAATCTTCCATGAAGCCTTCAAACATCTTCTTGGTTTCYATCCTGGAAACRGTCTCAGGATTGACTTGTTTRATCTCTTGAAGCCARCAATAAAATTCAGGTTGCTTTGTAAATTGATCTGCCTCTGTCAGGATACCATATTTTCCATATTTATTTTGATTGACTACGCTTCTCGTTTTCTTARGTTTCTTTTTGGTTCSTTTTTTCTTTTTCTTTTTTATCTTGTTTGGTTTCTAGATGACAGTAATAAAAACAATTAAAAATTAATATGTATTCATTGGAAATATCATTATTTTATAATAGTAATTTCAACAATTGATACTTGAGACAAGAAATGATTAGTCAACACATATCACACAGTCAAAACAATTATAAAGTAAGCCGCAAATCAAACCTTGTGCTTTGATTTCTTTCTTTTCTTTTTTCTTGATTCAGAATCGCTCTCACTGCTTTCTGAACTTGAATATAATGACTCTGATGACGATGTGCTTGAAGACCTATTTCTTTTTCTTCTTGACTTCTTTTTCTTTTTGGAGGATGTTCGGTCCTCTGAACTTGAAAATTGAAAAAAGACTTTAGACAATAATCAATAACTTAGAATTAGGATGCTTTTTTGATAACAGTTTATTTTCATGGTCAATTGATAATATAAACTAACCTTGATGATGAGCTACTTTTTCTTTTCTTGGACCTGTGATCTGAGTCACTACTGGATGATGAGCTTCTTGATCTTCTTGAATAGTGCTTTGAAGTCTGCTATTGAATATTGAGGTAAAATAAATTCTTTCACAGTGATCTTGCAGTAGATCAACCAATCAATTTATTAATCACTCACTCGGTCACTCACTCACTCACTCAATCATCCAATCAATCATTCAATCAATCAATCATTCAATCAATCAAGCACAAACTCTGACAATCATTCAGCCATGTAAATAACAGTGATTCAATCAAATATATAAAAAGTTGATCCAACAGTCTACTAGTTAAGTTATCAACTAATCGAATTAGCCATTTTACTGAATTTCATTTTGAAGTTAAAAGAATATTATTTAGCTTATCAGCTTACACTTCTGAATATTTTTTGATTATCTAATATCATATTGAAGACTATAACATGGAAATTATCAATTAATCAAGCAATGCAACTTTTACCTTTTGTTTAGAAGAAGATGCAGAGGAGTCTCTTGATGTCTTATCTTTGTTGTAATCTCTTGAACGAGMCCTAGAACGGCTTCTTCTTCTTTTTCTTCTTTCGTCCGCCATATTGATTTTTGCATACACAGGGAAGCCGTCAATATCGATGGGTTCCCTGTGTGATAACTTCCAATCCAAGATGGCTGCCCTGATTCCACGTGTAGGCAGAAAAACGTCGATTTGGAAGCATTTGATGTCTTCAGCATCGGTAAAAATACTTTATAGATATAATATAATCCTCAWAGTTTCCTTATTGCATCGTAGTTTGCATATTTATAATGATTTCTAATGTTTTTTTGCATAGAAACGGTCCATCAGTGTCAGAAGTTCACCTCGTCGTTTGCAAACTGTCGTAGATTACAGACATCATTCTCAAAGGAGTTGTACTCCAATTCTGTATKCAAGATTTTTAAAAAGAAGCAGTCTTGTTTTAGGAGCGAGGCATTATTCACAGGAAACTGGAGGTGAAAATCTTGGTAAATAATTGCATAAATAAACATAAGATTTTCGAAAATCTCAAAATTCAAATCTGGAAATGCTTACGATAAAATGATAAACATTGTTTTCAGATGAAATGATTGGAAACACTACAACAGCAGAAAATCCATTTCTAACAGATCCCCAAACAGCCATGGATTCAATATCAACTGCCGGCGACATACTGAAAGATACTGCACACACCCTGAATTCTCTTGGAGAGCCTACTCTAACAAGTCTGGGTCTGGGGGGTTCCTCACCCATTGGATGTATTCAACAAATAGTGGAGTTAATCCACACATCGTGCAACTTACCCTGGGTGTGGTCAATTGTTGCGGCAACTGTTGGATTTCGATTGTTAATGTTACCATTGATAGTKAAAGCCCAAGCCAATGGYGCTAGACTCAATAATATTAGACCGCAGTTGGAAGAGGTTCAAAATCAATTAAGAGAGCTAATGAACACGAATGATTCAATTGGAAAAGCTACAGCAACACAGAAATTAAAACAGTTGTACAAAGATAATAATTGTCATCCGATGAGGGTATAGTAAGAAGAATAAACAGCATCATTGAATAAGGATTTTATATTTTATACAGTCAACTCTTGCTATTACGGACACCCTCAGGACTGTAATTTAGTGTCCAACGWAGCAAGAGTCTGTAATTAAGGGAGTTACTTTCAGTCATTTCTTTGTATATTTCGCCGGGGACTCAGTATTTTGTGTCCATAATATCAATGCGTCCATTATAGCRGGGTGTCTGTAATGCGAGAGTTGACTGTACATACCTTTTTCATTGATACTCTTGTTTCATTTATTCATTTTCCATTTCATTTTGCCATTTCTCAATTCATTTATTTGTATTTTGTATTGCACATTTGATTTGATCTGCTCTGATTCTATTTCATTCTTGATCTTACTTTAGAGTATTGTAGCACCTCTTGTACAATGATTCTATTTCATTCTTTATCTTACTTTAGAGTATTTTAGCACCTCTTGTACAAATGCCCTTGTTCATCTCATTCTTCGTTGGTCTTCGGCGGATGGCAAATCTACCAGTGGAATCCTTCCAGTCAGGTGGCTTATTGTGGTTTACTGACCTCACTGCAGCTGACCCTTATTTTGTCCTACCAGTTCTGTGCAGTTTTACAATGTTAGCTACAATAGAGGTAAATTCAACAGATATTCCTAAATTACATTATAAATCCTTATGACGGTGGTCTGTTGCCTAAATAAATACCTCTATAAACAAAATGAAACCCAGCTCAAATGAAACCAAAGAATTTACTAAAAAAAA